TGGCAGGGGGGCAGGCTAGATGATCTGTTCAGGTCCCTCCTGACCCTAGCTACTATGAAACTATTTCTACTAAAACAGAACATATCATTGCAACTACTTTTTGGGTTCCTGAAATAGATTTTAAAGATTTGTTTAGAGGGAAGAAGTAAGTATATATAAAAAAGAGGGAGAATATACAGGGACTGAAGTAGTTCTCTAATGGTTTGTCTGAAACTTAAAAAAACTGTGCTTTGTTTTACTTAAATGTAGGGGTGTACTGATAAAGATTTTTGGGGCCAACACCAGTGGTCCATTATTAATTAGCTATATTGGCCAATTACTGATCTAATTGCCAATATGCAGCCTGGCAGCTTGGAGAGTAGCGTCTGGCTGATAAGTCTGTTGGGGGGAAGGTGGGGGCAGATTAAGGTCCCCGCAATGAGGGAGGGAGTGGGGCAGGGGCTGAGGCAAGCGTTGCCCAGCCAGGGCAGGGCACGGGCACAGAGCCACAGCTCATCCAGAGGGGGATGTGTGTTCGTGTGTGTGTGTGGGGAGGTGGAATTTGGCTCCCAGCACTGTACGCACCCCCAGGGGAGGCACAGGGGTTGCATGTCCCTCAGATCTGCACGCAGGGTAAGGACAGGCTGCAGTTGGGGGCAGCACCAGGCTCTTCCCAGTGGAGGTGGCTGGGCTGGGGCTCAGCTCAGGATGGGCAGCAGCAGTGAATGCATGAAAACTCAGGAAGGAACACCTGAAAACTCAGATCTGCCATTTTCCAAGGGATGTCTTCAGTCTAACAAATGGTCTTGAGTCTAAAAAGGTTGAGAACCACTGCAGGATAATCTTAGATGGGTTTCAACTTGATGAATCAATTTAGCTGGTGAAGATAACAGGGGCCAGGTTTAAAAATTGTTTTAGAAGTGTCCACACACAAAGTTCACTGGATTCGCCGAACCATTATAAAAATCAAAGCTAGTGACAACTGTGAAACTAAAAAAGTGCAACTTTGCGTTTATATCCGTTTAAAGAGTAAAAGCAAGGCATGTGGCACAAGCATCTGTCAGGATGCAAAATGGAAGCTATGCTGGGAGGAATGCACAGCACTGTTGGTTCTCCACATTTGCTTTCTCTCCATTGACGAGTGCCCTTGATTCACAAAACTCCTTCTAACCTGAAAAGGTAATTAAAGCATAATCCTAATATTAAAGGCAGACAACACATATACTGCAGTTGGTTATGTTAGGTGGTTTAGAATCTGAAAGGTGTCTGAATCTAAAACTAACTCTCACTGAAGACAATGGAAGTTACTAATGCTCAGTACCTCTCACTCAATTTAAACGTACATTTTTCAGTACAGAAACACTTACATATGCACAAATTCCAACATCCTTTGCAATGATCTTCAGAGGGATGCTCTTGGGGTAGTCTTTTTCTTTCTCTTCTTTGATTCGACTAACAAAGCAAACAGATTAATTCTTTTTTATTGTTATTAATACAGTCAGTAATATTTATACTCGTCTCCACAGTAATCTAAGTAATACCTGGATAAAAAACAGATGTGTTTGCAAAGTTGTTCTAGTTTCTTAGGGAGAAATGATGCATCTACACAGTCAGGATAATACTGCAAATAGATGCTGACCACAGTCTCCATTCATGCAGAAATGTCACATTATATTTATACTCATAAGGGGTAGAAATGAGTATCAGCAATAGAAGAACAGTAATTAAACTCTAGAAGAGACCCCGATAATGACTGGGGTTTTGGTCAAACCACCAAAACAGAGAGCATTCATCCCCTTCCTGTTTCTCTGGTGCTGCCATCTCCTTGCCCTGGTCATATGTTGGGTACATTTGGGAACTCATGGGCAATGGTTGGGGCATGGAAAGATGCATCAGGCCTACGGAGATTGCCCAGAAACAAAACATGTTTCTTAAAGCTGCACTGCCTTTTCATAGACTGGGCCAGTGGGGGGCAACCTTGGCAGATGTGCCACAAATTGGCCTTGTGCCCACTGAGTGCAGCTCCTATACCCTTCCCATGCCTGATCTGCTGCTCTGCCCCCTGCATCCTGCTCTATGTGCTGCTGCACTGCCTGTCCCCTCCCCCATCTGCTGTGTGCTCAGAGGCTGCCTATGCTACTTGTGGCACATGTGTCTCAGGTTGCCTCTGCCTTGACTAGGTCATCCCACCCCCCCAATATTATTAGGGGCCCCCTGCAGATAAAAGCTTAGATGCTAAACTTTGATTTTGGGAAATAAACTGAGCCAATGCTACTGAAAACGGAATGAAAAAAGTTTCATTAACTCAAGCCTTCCCTCTGGTTTGGGTTTCAATTTGGCACAAAACTGACTGATTAAACCAGGGGTTGGCAACATTTTTGGTTGAGTGCCAAAAAACCTGGCAACCTGGACTTTGAAGATATTGGCGTGCTGAGGCAGACAGTGAGAGAGTCATGAAGGGTCCAATTCTTGTTGTGGCAGAGCAGCCCCGGCCCCTTCCCCACCATGCACCACAAGGTATGCATGCAGCTGCTGCCAGCAACCAGCCACGCCAGGGCTCCAGACCCTGGTGCAGCTGCTTGCAGACTTGTGGCTGGCTGTGGCAAACAGCCAAGGTTCTGGGCAGGCCCCTGTCACCCACCACAGAGCCTGGGATACTTGCAACAGGTAGCCACAAGCCTGCTGCTCTGGAGCCCCAGCCCAACTTGTTGCCAGCAGTGGCTGCACACACACGTTGGGGAATATGGTGGAGAAGAGGCTGGGGCTGCACTGCCCTTCCCTGCCACACGCCCTGAGGTGCACATGCAGCCATCGCTGGCCATGGAGCCAGGCCAGGGCTCTGGAGCCTGGTGCAGCTGTTTGCAGCTTGCCTACCGCCTGCTGTGAGCTGGGGCTCTGTGATGGCAGTGGCTGCACGCATGCTTGGGACACACTGTGGGGAAGGGGTTAGGGTTGCGCTGCCCCAAGCCCTTCCCTGCCAGGTGCCCTGAGATGTGTGCGCAACTGCCAGCAGCCAGGGTTCCAGACCTCAGTGCACCAGTTGTAGCCTCCCAGCTGCCTGCTACATCCAGCCCAGGCTCTGGGAAGCTGTTGCTTGCCACTGAGCGTGGGCTGCTCGCAGCAGGGCTTGCAGACTTCCTGCCACCTGCTGCAAGTAGCCTGGGCTCTGTGGCCAGTGACAGCTGCCCAGAGCCCAGGCTGGCTGTGGGATTCTAACCAAAATGGCCTCAAGTGCCAGGCTCTGACAAGCATGCCAGGGGTTGCTGACCCCTGGATTAAGCCAATGCTAGTTGCAGGGCTGCACATCCTTATTTGAAAGCTCACTCCAGAGAATAGGTCTGCTTTATAAACAAGTAGTCTGGAATCAGTGGTGGTCCATAAACCCCTGGGATGGCCCATGGTTTGCACTGGGAGCGGGTGCCTTTAATTAAAAGTTTGATGATGAGGGTGAATGATGGACTGGAAAAAATTCTGAGAGTAAACAGTGTTCTATCAGTCCAAAAAGCTTTGTGACCACTGTCTAGGCGATCAAATTAACCTTTTCCACCTCTCTCAGCATTCTAGTACAGCAGCAGGGAAATAAAAGTACCTTTGGAGGGAAGAGAGCCACTTCTCCTTCTGCTCTGGAGAACTGCAAGGATTACAAACAAACATGGACAAATACATGTCAGCCAGCTCCGTAATGCCAAGGTAAGATCCCTGTGAACAATGGTGGGAGAAAATGTAGACTAACTGGCTTGTCTATGAATACACACCAGGGGTAACCAACTGCTGTCAGGGTATGCAATGAAAACCTGTTGCCAGCTGCAGGTTGAACAAATAACCTGTGAACCTGTCCTCCCCTCCAATCCATCCCCACAGGGGTTAAAGTTTTACCAGTGAAATCATCATCAGCAAGAGTAGGCTGCTAAATTATGTACAAAATAAAATAGGATGATTTTACAGGGAGGTGTTTAATCCCCGAGCATAAGGGTATTCTCTCCAGTATACAAATTGTAACTGCCACTCTTCCACTGCCTTTTCTTATTAATCAATTTACATTACATTAAAGCCATAATAAGAAATGGGTTCTATTTCACTTAATAATATTTAGGGTTTTTAAAAAATATTTAATTTCACCCATATACTTTCAAGGATCCTAAACTATTCAGCTATGCAAACACTAACTGATAATAATAATACAACAGTGCAAGGAATCAAACTGAATTTTGCTTCAAACTTCCTTGACCTAAATTCTACCACAGATGAAGATAATTTTTCCCACTGGTGCTTCTGCAAAAATCAGTTCTCCAAAATTTTCAGAGCCACCTTTTAAGGAACCTGGTCCATTTTGCTGCCTCAAGAACATGTACTTGATAAATGATGAAACTTTGTTTTCAGTTTTATTGTTTAGAATCTCTTGTAATTTATCTTTATCTAGTGACTACTGTAAAATTCTTTTGATTGTCTATATAACTCTGGACACGATATAATTTCACTTAACTAAAATCTAGGACTCCCTTTTGATCTAGACTGCTGCTTTCATATCAAACTATGTTCTTATTGCTTTAAAGGGTAGGCTTCTGTCTCTAGATGAAAGCACATTTTCATTGGCAGGAGTTCAATTTAAAAAAAAAAAATCAATAGGAAATTTCAGCTTTGTTTCAGACCTATTCAATATAAATAAATAAATAAATAAATAAATAAATGAAAAGCACAGTTGGTACTACAGAGAGCTGCTCATGCAGTACAGTCACTTTGGATACAGACAACACGGTATAAATAAAGCTGTACATCTCATCTCTCTCTCTGTCAGTAAAGGGGCAAATCCATTTTCCAATATCCAGCCCAATTACCTTGGTGGGCCATCACGGATCTCCTCAGGGTAAGGTCGCCTTCCTTTTCCAAAGTGACAGCAGAGCCCTTCCTGTGGAGACTCAAATGAGTCTAAAAGATGACACTGCCTAAGTGTTCCTGCCTAAGTACTCTACAGTAAAGGCAGTGAAGAAGTGTATAAGAATTCTTATCCACATTAACACTCAAAATTTTTGTTTGAGAGAGAGAGAGAGAAATGGTGGCATTTCCTCTGGCACAGTTTAATTATAAAGAAAAACAGAACCAGGGTTACATTTTGTTGAATGCATCCAATACAAATTGTTCTGAGTGGGTCCTAGGAGAGAGTTTCCTGGTACTTAAAACTGAAAAGCACACCCTGCCCATCTGCTCCCATTCTGCATATACCAGACCTGGAATGAGGTGGTGAAGCATGTTGTGGGCATTTCATGCTGCAGCTCTGAAGCTCGCTGAAGATGGGTATGTCAAGAGTTCCTGGCTCTGAAACTCCTGCTGTTTTTGTTACATGGGGTAACTCAATAATGTAAAGTAAATGAACAAAGTGCATGTCCATTCTCACCTGAAATTCACAACACAATTGGTGGTGGGCCAGCCTAGCACAAATGACTTTTCTGGGTTGGTGCTGCCCTCGCAGACCTCTTCCATACAAGACGCTGTCCACATCTCACAGAGACGCGCTTGGCTCTTTAGTTTGAAATGGGATTGCGACCTGTTGGCAGAAACCCCATGTATTACCCACACACAGAAATGCAACACTACAAATTATTAAACTCCTTTCCCTTCAGCTTGTACCTGTATTATCCATTAACATCAATGACAGAAACTATTCTTCATTTCCAGAAACTTGCTTTTTTGGGGCTTGTGTGGTTACAAAAGGAGAGAGCAAGAGTGAGCAAGCGAGAGAGAATTTCCTTCCTATTCAAAATGAAAGGATTTGGGATACAACAGACTTTTCTTAGCTGTCATGCCCCAACCCTTTTTGCAGGAACTTCATTCACTTCTGGGACTGCACACTGTCCAGCTCTTAATCTCCCAATGTGCAAAGGTTTGGAATAGGGCAAGTTAAGCTGCCCTATTCCAAATGAATGTCACTTCAGAGTCTGCTGTGTAGTGGTGGCTTGGACTAATCAGTCAAAATCAAAAAGACACTGTGGTAACAATGCACAGGACAATGTGAGCTAGGCCATCAGGAAATAGAATTTAAGACCTGCCTGAGTCCAAATCACTAGCATAATCGGTTTTACCATATAGATCTCTCTCTAGGATAAGTCATGCTATAAGGATCATAAAATAGACTGGTAGAAAGTGCCTCTTGATCAACATTACTTGGAAAATGAAGGTGAGCTAGAAACTCACATATTCTTAAGGACACTCTCACCTGACGCTCTGACATATTTTAGCTCATTAGAATATAAATAAAACAACAGGAAATAAATTTACAAAACAGGAGCTTTTTGTTTTGTTTCACTGCTTTCCTTTAACTGACTTCTTGGTGTTTTTTTAAAAGCTCCCTTTTACAATGCCTGTGGGTGCCTATATTGTACATAATTGATTTAAGCTGTACAAAGTCAGCTGAAGCCTGCCAGGTCTACAGCGATTCAACCCATTACAAGTAGAAGTGGCAATTGTCACTGTCCCCAAGACCTCAGTTAACAGATGGGCTTACAGTGTTGAATTCTAGTTCTGCTGGACCAACTGAGAAAGTTTTAAACAGAGAAGAGCTCTTTGCTGAAAATGCCCTGCCTTCAAGTCCAAGGATCATGAACAAGAATACATCAGCCTATGTCAGCACTGTAAAGCTAGATGGAGACAGAGCCTAGATACTACAATAATTAGTACTCTATAAATAAATACTTTAGAAAAGGAATTTCTTAGAGTTATGGAGCATCTGGAATACTTTCTTTGGGGTTTGATTTATTTACAAAGTGGTTGATTTAGGACCTTAAGTCTAGGACTTAATTAAGACTATTTCAGTCTAAAATGAGAAAGCATTTGAACTTCATGGGTTTAAAAAAAGCACTGTGCTGAATTCACAATGCTCTGATTTTTTTTTTTGAAGGGTTTCAGTTTATATTTCATTAACAGCTGCAACTGGATACTGCACCACAGATGACCTGGCATTAGACATGAACATGCACAGCTGTGCATCAAAAGGAGTCTGCATACATCTTATAACAGATATTGACATTAGGATGATGTTTTTTGGGAGCAGTATCTGTAGAACACTGTTAAAAACCACATATCATATCTTTCTTTTTATTCTATTTTATTCTTCTTATTCTCATACGTTTCTTAATCAGCTATCACATCTACACAAAGAACATAGCCTGCCTATGTCCTTAGACAAACATGGCTATAACCAAAAACCCTCCTAATCAGCTCTACATCTACATGCACTTCTTGAACAAAAAATATTTTATAATGCTATCAAAATAAAATGTTACAGTATAGTAGATCAGTACAGTTCAATTACCTTATAAATTGTGGCAAGGATTTGTTGGGATGCCTTTCACTGGGACAACTGTATAGCTGGTAGAGTTGATGCCTGAGAGCTTGTCCAACAACTGCCCTTCCCCAGGTCACTTGTACTCTCAGCCATGCAGTTGTCCCAGTAGAAGATATCACAAAAAATCCTTACCTCTCATACATTTCCTGGACCATCACAGCTACAACACTATCCCAATTTTACTCATAAATTGACCAAGATGTTCTGTGGTTTAACAGATAAAATCTGATGTAAAAAATACTGCTGTAATTATGCACAGATTGACCATGGAATAAACTGTTTAATAATTAACAAGTAGAAATACTAGAATGAAGGCTGATGGAATAAATGTAAACATCAAATAAAAGTGTTTCACCTATGTTGACACTACTGGTATTATACAAGGAATATATTTGGTTCAATTTCCACTCCTGTGGAGTTCCTGGTATATATTCTGGTTTTAACTGCCAGCTGGTACTCTGTGGTTATGTCTACATGAGATGCTTAATGCGCAGTAGCCTAATACCACTGCACAGTAGTGTGCTGGGCAAAACCCATGCTAATATGCTACTGCACAATAGTATTAAGCTACTGTGCAGTAAGCATCACTAAAAAACCATGTGCTGGCACTACTGTGCAGTAACTATAGTTACTGCTCATTTAATTAGTACTTCATTAAGCAAGTATTAAATTAAATGTTCAGTAACTACCGCACATTAATGAATATATAGACTAACTGCCTGCAGCTTGGCTTCTACTACAGGCAGTCTGTTCCCACTTAAGTAGCCAGACTGCCCTGTTATAGGGGTGTAGAAATGGGCCCTACATGAAGTTACATGTTATATTTACACCATACTAAGGGCACTTAAAATAAAAGCGTCTGCATGTTAAGCTCATTAACTCATGCTAAGTGCCCTTGAGCATCTCAAAGTTATGCCATTATGGGTAAAGATTAACTCTGGGTTGTGCTACTCAACTCTTGTTATGGTAACTTTAGTCTCCTCCACAGAGATACAATAAGGTATTTGCAATCTTCCAGCATCCCAAGATGCACCACTCTAAGCCCCTCTCACCCAAACAGGGATAAAGTCCAGGTGTCCTGGCTGCTAGCCACACCCCTGCTCACCAGCCCTCTACTGGCAAAACAGAGCCCTGTAGCAGAGAAACTGTATCAACTTTTAGAGGCCATGTCCCCATAAGCAGGGACAGGCAGTTGTCACAGGGAAAAAAACAGCAGCACAAGTTTGTGCTGCTCCTTTTTGCTCCATCACATGTACCTGCACATGGGGTTAGTGCAGGGAAAAATGCTCCAGATGGGGTAGGGTAGGCTGGGGCCGGCACCTATGCTGGCCCCAGCAGCTTTACCTGGGTCCTAAGGGCCTCCTGGGGCTGGAACAGCAGTGATCCGGGCACACAAAGCCTGGCCAGCAGCCAGAGCATGGCTCTGGCCAGCCAGGCTCTGGTTTCAGGCAGCACATGCTGCTGCCACATATGCCGCCCCACTTTTTTCTGGTGTGGGTTTTTGTTTTTAAACTGGAATCTCCAGGTGTCAAAAAAAACCTGCCACACTGCAAATTAGTAGCACAGCAAACACCTGCATGTGCAGTGCTGCAGAAGGGTCTACAGCTGGCTTGTCCAACATACGGCCCACAGGCCACCATGCGGCCCACCAAGCCATTTTCTGAGGCCCGAGGTGCTGCGACAGGAAACAAAAGTAAACACTGTTTACTTTCGTTCCCACCCCTTGTCCCTCTCCCAGCCCCTCAGCAGGTGATGGGCAAACACAGACTATGAGGCAGTTGGCTGCCCGGTGACTGCTGACCCTTTCCCTGGTTGGAGCAGGACCCCTCTCTCAGCTCCCCCGACCGCAGCCAGGGAGGCCGGAGCGGGTGAGCTCGCACCAGGCGGGTCCCAGGGCCCAGGCCGAGGCACCCCCCACCCCCATCACGCAGCTCCTTTAAGCCTTGAGCCAGAGGTGGTCCGCACTGCATCGGCGGGAAAGGGGTGGCATGGGGCAGGGCAGTGCGGGGATGAGCGTGCGAGCGTGAAACATGACTGCCCAGCTGTAAGCGGGGCCACGTCCCCAGGCGGGATGCTGAGGAGCCCACACAGGGGTGCTATACGGGTGCGTGCGCTCGTGAGGAGGAAGCACAAGGTCACACTCGCGCCTTCCTCCTCCTCCATGGGAGCCACGGGAGAGGAGGGAGGTGAGTTGCGTGCGCGTGGCTGTGTGTAAAGACCGGGCTCCTCGTCCCTGATGGAGCTAGGCAGCGTCCTGAGGCGCTGCTTCTCCTCCTCCTCCTCGTTGCTGCTGCTGGAGGCCAACAGCTGGCTGCTCCTCCACAGCTTCCTCTACCTGGTGCTGTACGCCCAGGTGTCCCAGGGCAAGCTTGCATTATGCTTCTTTCATTCATTGAGAAGTGAGTAGAAGCGAAAGTGTTTATTTTAGTCAAGTGCTTGGTATTATTTCATTGTTGTTTTTATATTGTTTTATATTATTTTATATTGTTTTATATTGTTTTAAACCACATTTCCAGACCCATTTCATTGTCACTTCTTGCAACTTCATTGGTGTTAAAGGTCACATGACATCACTTCTTGATATGATACCGTTTCCTGTGAGGTCTTTGAATATGGCTCACCGGCCCACTGGGTGATAAAAAGTTCATGATCCGGCCCCACATTCAAAAAGGTTGGACACCCCTGGTCTACAGCACAGCAAACCACACATGCACACTTGTCTGGACATGCCTATAACGTGCGGCTGCTCACAGCACATCCTAATTTTAACACTGCTTAACATTCCACTCACTGATTTAGTATGATCAAGCATAATGTGCAACTTCACCCTAGCAGAACCTCGTTCTTTGATCCAAGAAAGATGAGTGCAATCACTCTCAGTTTCAAGAAGCTGCAATTGGACACCTTGTGGCTGTTAACAGATGGAAGATTAACTTCTCACTAGATTCATTAATCTACTTAATAGAAGCCTCAGAAAAAAAGCCATTAACAAATCCACTGGAAGACCACTACTGTAACTCCTTTTATCCACTCACTTACTAATTTCTAAAGTCCAGCTATTTTGGAGAAACAGCTATCAAAGTTGTCGTGCATGTGTTGAGTTGAAATAAGTTACATCTTATTCAACCGTGAATAATTTTTATTAAAAGCACATAGAGATCCACATTATAATGAAGCTTATACGTGTAGCTGATGACACATGGAAACAAAATGCATAAGATAAGAAATTCCTGATCAATAAAAGAGAAACACAATGCAAACATACACATTACAATGTTAGTTTGAAGATAATGACGCTTTTATTCAGCTACCTACAATATTTTCTACTGATCTAACATTCTCCTTTCATAAGGCAGGACACACCAACAGTCAGCAAGGGAGGTACAGCAGACAGGTAGTGAATCAACATGGCTAAATCCTCCTGTGAAGGCAAAAGAACAAGAGGATTTACCTTTGTGTTCTCAGAGCTACAGCACAACCTTTGACTAAACTTAGAACTTTGTCTCACCCGTCATTGTGTTCAAAGTTGCTTTGATATTCTACTTTGGCAGTAGCGCAAGTAGCTAAAATGGGATCTTCTGTGGCCTGTCAGAGTTATTTCACTTCAAGTCAATTTTTTAGCTCTGGAAAGGACTGAAATTGTTACTGTGAAGTGTCTCTCACCTGCTAAATGGATTACTAGTAGACTCCAGCTCTGATCTAAACTCAGTCATTCTAAAGAGACCGCATATCCTCCGGGCCGCATCAAAAGCCATCACAGTGCTTGCTGGTAGAGATTTTATTCAGTGGAAAAGTAGTCCTTGAACTGTGCACTGTTAATTGTTGGTCACTAAACAAAATGTTTTCTATATTTAATATGTTCATAGAATTTCAATGGTATTAACAAGGTGTAAATTTGCTGTGTTTTTATACATCCTCATAATTAAAAAATAAAAAGAAATCCAACTCACTAAAAAATTCCCAAAAAGCCATTCAATTGCTGGTCCAATGGTACAATGACTTAGGCATTGTAGCAAAATATTTACCTCTTTCTTCATCTTTATAAAACTGGTAAAAAGTGCCCTCATTTTCTTAAGTGTGGAGTAATATAACATGATTGTCTGGGCACAAAGCTTAGATTTTTTCACCACCAGCCCCCAAAATTTCCTTTACTCACGAAAGCTTATTTACAGAATTTGATTTCCAAGTCAGAATCTACTTAATACACTTTTTTTTCCAACCCAAATATAATATTGGGTACAAAGTGCTGAAATTACCTTGTCCAAGCACACAAAGTGACTTGGGCTATGTTAGAAATTAAGGAACTGCTGACTCTTAATCCCTTGCTAGGATCACACCAACACACACCTGTCTTAACTGGTTGCCCCCAACTCTTTCTTCATGCACCCCAGCTCTTATATTAGTGGTTCTTTCCCCCAATTCCCTCCCACTTGCACATCCCTTGCCTATATGAAGTTTCATTCAAGTCCTTTGGAACAGCGGAAAACCAAGAATCAGCTAAATGAAAGAGCAAGTTCAGCAAAAAGTGAGAGGAAACAGGATAAGCTACTATTTTTGTGACAGAAGGACCTTTCTATTCCTGTACTAGCCCCATACAGAACACCTGCATGGCCTGCCCAGAGCCGAACAGCCAGGGGGCTGAAGCAGAATCCTCTTTTTCTTTAAGTCTCCCGTTCCTTTGTGTACTGTCTCATACGCAGCTTCTTCAAAATTGGATGTTTTGTGAATGTAAAGAGGGAGCACAAGCTGGAAAAAGGGGGCTTAAAGATAAATATCTTGCATAACAGTGGAGAAAATGTCAATAAATAATCCTAACTGCTAAATTCCACTATTCTTAGTCACTTGAAGTAGGAACAAGGACCTTATTATAAAAGGCTCACTGAGGCAGATTTTATGTTGCAACAACAATTGGAGAATCAGGGCCACCGCTCTGAATATATAACAAAGTAAATCCTTCAATAGCAAGGGACAAAGAAAATAGGCAGGAAAGGAAGCAATGTCAGTTCACTAGCTGCAAACAGCAAATGATAACAATACCATTTAGCAGTTTTTGAACTCTTCATCTGTGAATCTCAAAGCACTTTATACAATTAAACAGACATTTAGTAGGTTGGTGCAATCCTCATTGCCACAGTATATGAACATTATCCCCATATTGGGAAGTTAAATCAACTCACCAACTGAAAGGTTAATAGTCTAATTAAACTGAGATGTTTTAAAACCTAAAAAGTACTAGCCAATAAGCGTCTTGACCAAAGTCAAATGCAGGGAGTCACTGGAGAAGGTAGGAACAGAAGTTGAAGGAAATGGGCATGTTTAGTTTGTAGAAAAGGCAAGCAAGTGGGGATGTGATGGTGGCCTTAAAACATCTAAAGCACTGCCACAAAGAAAAGGGAGGGAACCTTTTCTTCATTTCTGCAGAGTAAGGCATGCTGGAATGGCTTTAAATTAAAGCAAAATAGGTCTAGTTGTGGAGGGGATCAGCAGCACAACATGGGAAAGGGAAGGGGATACTGCTTCCTACTTTCCTGAGCTGCTTGCTGCTGATCCCTTGTGCCATAGGCTGGTTCCAGTCACTCTGGGGGTTGGATCTGGCCTGCAGGCTGTAGGTTGAGCACCACTGATCTAGGAATAGCAATGCCTGAAGCATGCTGTGAAGAGTAACAGTTGGAAGCTCATGGATGACTGGGAAATCACAAAAGGACCTCTGCAGCTCAAAGCAAGTAATGGAGAAGACAATGGAGAATGAAGCAGAGCTCCACAACCTGCTTAGTTACAGGCTAGGATAAGTGTATGGAAGGGAAAAAGGATGACAGAAAGAAGGTGTGATACGAGTTGTTTGCCATCCTCAGGTAGCAGAGCAGAGTGGTGGGTTTTTGAGCTTTTCGATACTTATGGGCTTTGCTGGTTGCCACATGGGGCTAGGCAAGATTTTTCCCCCTCCCCATACTATTGCAATTAATTATCAGGGTTTTACCCCATGGTCACATTAGGATGGATTACGGGGGGATTTGGCTCTCTCTGGAGTGACAGGGCATGGATCTCTTGGATCTCTAAGTTGTATTTAACAACCTTGCAGTGGCAGGATGTTGACAGTACCCTTGCCTCCCTGCTTTATCTGTGGCAGGTACGGTGTTCTGGGTATCCTTGGAAAATGTGCCTTGTAGTGGTGTCAAAGGGTTTGTGAAGTTTTAGGAATAGGTTAGACAAGCACTTGTATGGACTAGCTTGGATAGGGTTGATTCTGCAGGGGGAGGGACTAGATGACCTCCTGAAGTCCCCTTCAGACCTAATTTCGTATGATTCTAAGTCAAGTCCTATCCACAAGACCACAATTCCCAACCTTATAAAATGGTTAACATCTTCCAAGCAATACTGAGCACCCTCAGCTCCTACTGACTTCAATGGGAGTCAGATGTGCTCATCACCACTCAGGAGAAGCCTGACTTCTTACAGGAGTGGAGCTAGTGAACTAAGAACTCATGCGGGATTTGTTTCTCTTAAACTCAAACACTTAGACCCACTTACTGATCATCTAAAATCCAATTATAAACGCAATTCTTTTTTGGAATGTTAAATTTCATCTGATCTCAGTACACTATGGGTTACGCTTATCTTTACATTCAGAGACCTTTTTTCCTATTAAAGTTAAAACCATCCTTTTATGCATGCAGCCCCAAACACTAGACAAATACCGGACACAACATAATATTACAGATTTACCAGAAGCTTTAGAGAAACTAATTCTGTAGGCAAGTCTGATCAACTGTAATCTCATTTTATTACTCTGGTGTACTTCCATCTTAACTCTGCATTGGTCATTAAAAAGTCAATATTCATCAACAGTCATCACCACACAATAGTATATGGCACACATTTTTCCCTCTCAGAATCAGCCACAGTACCTTATATGATAAGGCAGTATTTGCTAATAATTATCATTCAGTTTGATTATTGACAGATCTGATGGTTCAACTGTTGGGATGTGATCTCTAAAGCTGTTGTGTCAATCAGCCCTCAAAATACACTAAGTAATATAATTAAAAATACTGCCCTTATTTCCATCTATAACAAAGAACTCTTCTGTTTTTAACACTTATAATCCAAGTTACTTTGAACTATTTAACTTGGATCAGACTCCCACATGGAAATATAAACTGCTTGTCCTCCTTCACAATGTAACTAGGGTGGGAGTTTTGTGGTCCAGGAAACGGGAAACGGAAGGGCTTTTTGGTGGTATCTTTGACTGGAGCACCTGTGTTGTTGGGAAAGATGCTAGATATGCTAAAAAGGACAAAATGCCCTTGCAGTCAAAATCTCATCTAGCATCTCTCCCAAAGGTATCCAATAAAAGATATTATCAAAAAAGCCTTGTTTCTAGAAAAATTCAGACTTTTTCCACATTAAACCAAGTGCTCGAAACTCTGTTACTATTCCCTGAGGCCAGATTTTGCAACAGCTACACAGAACAGTACCCTACTCTACATAGACAACTGGTAGGGGAAGCATGGGGGGCATGTGCGCCCCCTGACAGGGCCATCCCTGCTGTTGATGCCACCGGTGGCATCTACTCGCCAGCTCCATCCCCGCTGCTCATGCTTTTGGCGACATCTGCGTGTGCTCACCAGCCCCATCCCCACTGCCGCCTCTGGCTTCTGCGGATACATGCCCCAGACTCAGGAGGCACCAGTCGCCCATGATACCCTACGACTAATCCCATTAATTTCAGTGAAGGGTGCTTCGCTATATAAGTCAATAGAATGCTTATCCATCCCTTAGCACAGTGGAGCCCACCTCAATGACTGGAGCCCCTAGGCACTACGCAATCCATACAGTAGTAGTGGCAAGGTTCAGCTTTACATAAATAATTTTTACATTCATCATCTCACTGCTAGAGTACATGTTTTAAATAAAATATCCTCTCTTGTCACACCATATAAAGAGAAGGAATTCAGCAAGGGGTTTTATGTTTATTCTACATGATGCAAACAGACATAGCTCAGATTTCCATAGAAAACAGATTTATATTGGCTCTTCCCAGCAACCTTTGAAACAGGCAGCTAAGGGGAAGGATGCACTGCAACAAGCACAAGATTCATGTGGAAACCATCCATCCTGCAACAGTATATTCATGGCACCTAACAGAAAAGAAAGCTGCATCAGAGGTTTTCACATTTTTCCTTAACTCATTTTAACAAGTGAAAGCACCCTCAAAGTTTGCCTTAAACCAAAACTGCCATATGAAGCTGGCATGTTAGATCCAGCTTGTAAATCTGCTTTAATTGTGAATGGTAGGGTGAATAATCTGAAGTTAGCAACAAGCCTGATTACACATGAACACTGCACTCAAATTCTTCACCTTTTACTTTGAAGCGTTTTCCAAATGCTGTTTCTGGTACAGTAGAGATGACAAAAATACTTACTGTAACAGTTGAACATCTCTATAAAAGTGCAATGTATAAATGGTAATCACCTGAACATAACGGAGTAAATCCCATACATATAACCTTCTAACAACTCTCTGATTTAAAGTGGTATTGTATACGTTTAATAAGTGAACTGAGACCCCAACAGTTTTAGGTGACTTGTCCAATCTCTGAGGCAGAGTTGATAGCAGAACAAGACACAACTCGTGTTTTAACCACCGTACAACATTTTCGTTCTCAACATAAGGTGACACTTCTGAAAAATAAACCCAGTGTGGTAATATGCAAGTTTATTACTCCTTTAATATGCCTGGGATTTCCCAAAGCACCTACAGGAGGCAGCCAACTCCCAGTGACAAATTAAGAACTTTTAATGGAATCTAGGAAAGATTTACTGTAGAAAAAGTATTAAAAAATTAATGCTATGCCATGCCAAGGACAGGTGCTGCTAGGCAGAAGCATTCCCTTATGTGCTATGCTTACTTGGATTTGGCAACAACCAGAAGGTCCGTGAAGAGGAAAAGGTGCCGTTCTTGAGTTTGGAGACCCGTCTTCAGCTGTACATGGCCATTGAGTATAAGGGCTCTGCTGGGACAGATAAAGGACTGCACGAGGGGACATGCTTCTGGGCTGATTGGGGAGAAGCAGCCTTCCCTGCAGCAGCAATAAAAGAAAGCAAGTCAGCCCATCAACAATAACCAAGAATTACCTCTCCCCCTTGACACAGCAGGCAGAGATTTCCTGCACTGCCTGCTGAAAGACAGAACAACGAATAATTAATTCACAAACATTTTACTAACATCAGAAGGACAATGACAGAGGGCAGAACAGCCTGACACCCATGCAGAAAGCCATGTAAGGACTGCCTTCACTTCTTAGTAGAGGTGCACCAATATATTGGTCCGATATTGGATCGGCACCAATATAAAGGAACTTGACTACATCAGGAATGGCCTGATGTGGCCGATAATTTGGCCAATAAATGCCCATGTGTGCGCGCAGCTGCAGCACAGCACGCAGGCAGCGAGGAGCACAACCCAGCAGCATGCAGCTAGTAAGTCTGTTATGGTGAAAGGAGAGTGGGAAGGGGTGTAGAGGCGCAGATTAATGCCCCCTGTGGTGAGGGAGCGACTGGGGCTGGGATAGGTGTTGCCCACCTGGGGCAGGGTGGGCACGGGACGGAGCCACAGCTCGTCCAGGGGACATGGGGAGGGAGTGGTTCCTGCCACTGCATGCCACTCATCCCGAAGGGCACTGGGGGTGGGGGGTGCCCCCAGATCTGCACAGGGTGGGCCAGGCAGACTGCAGCTGTGGGCTGGGGCCAGGGGGTTGTGCTGCACTCAGGGTGGGTGGTGGCAATGCTGGGAGTGGGCTACAGTGAAATTTGGGGTGGCTGCATCCCCCCTCCCAGTGCCACCACTCACCCCAAGAACAGCACTACAGCCTGCCCAGCCTGCCCTGCACAAATCTGGGGCACACCACTCCTCCTCCATGCCCTCCTGGATGAGCGGCAGGAGCAGCAGCAGGAGCCACCCCATTCTAGTTGGGCAGCATCTACCTCAGCCCCAGCTCCACTCCCTCCCTCACTGCAGGGGCCTTGATCTGCCCCGCCCCATGCCCCTTCCCTTCCCTCCCCCCTCCCTTTTCACCACAATAGTATTACCAGCTGCATGCAGCTCTATTGGGGCGGGGGGGAAAATCGGATCAGTACCAGCCGATAAGCCTCCTTAAAAATCGGCTATTAGCATCGGCTTCCAAAATCTCTATCAGTGCACCCCTACTTCTTAGTCTTATACAGCATATAGCAGGCACTTAGCAAATAATAATAACTGAAACGTAACCCCCTCAAATCTACAATCAATTGTTAAAAATACTACACCTTGTTGGTGCCCCATTAACAGAACAGTGTATGTTACATTCACAAACATCTGACCACACAGCTATATTTGTATTTGGAATTTACAGTACAACAGGAGTTAGTGATTTAAAACAAAATTATTCAGTCATAATGATCAATACTGGAAAAAAAATGAAATATATGGTGCAATCAGGTCAGCATTTGTTAGAGGCACACCAGGCAGCCTCCAGAGTTTGCATAACAGAGGGCCTAAACTACACAGAATTTGGCAGCCTGCCTTAATACTGCTTTATTAACCAAGCCTAAATTATTTCCCCCTTGAATTATCATCCCTATTATTACTTTAGAGTTAGATCCTTGTTTTAAAGGTCTTGCCAAAACAGAATTTTAAGACTGATTAAGCAGAGATGATTTTGAGTTAGCTCTTTACAAATGCAATTCCTGTATGAAAAGGTTAAGGGCTTCTTCCTGAAAACTAGCGAGCATCTCCGAAGAGGTGCTGGAGTACCCTTAAATCTCAGTGGAGTCAGCAAGAGCTATAGCTATTCAATACTAAAGGAACAGCTCCCTCAATCCTTCCAGTTGGAGCAAGTCTACTTTGTATAAAATAATTACTCACTGAGTCACACTACAGGGAATGACACACTAGTCTGGGGGATAGGACACCCAGCTTGGAAATGAGACATCAGGCCCCTGCTCCAGTTCATGTTTGTTCATGTGAAGAAGAACAGCAGCAACAGAAGGGATCGAGACCACTCCCCATCCCAGAATTCCTTAGGGCCTGGCAGTTGGGAACATCACAAGAGGTGAGAGATGTTAGTTCAAATCTCCTCAAAACAGAAGAGGAAATTGAATGCGGGTCTTCAACACCATGGATGGGTGCCTGAACCCCATTTGTACCTACTAACTCTGACAGTATTTTTTCCCATTTTATGCATCTAGCCCTTTACTTCTCTTGAAACCCAATTAAAGTATTTTGTGAAATCATATCTGGCTTGATAATAACTTTTTTCTGGGTTTGGGAGAAAAACCTGTTCTTTGCACAACACTACTGGACGGATACTGGGGTGGGGATTGGGGCGATTGTCACCCAATATTCAGTGTTGAACTGGTGAGGTAGCACTTAGAGTGGCTGAATGTCTTCAAGTTGGCAGGACCAGAAGACTACACCCGAGAGTGCAGAGGGAATTGGCTGGAGTCACTGCAAAACCATTGGTGAAGGTATCTGAAGACTTGTGGTGCTCAGGAGAGGTCCTGGAAAATTAGAAAAGAGTCAATGTGGTGCCAATCTTTAAGAAGGGGAGGAGGGAGGATCCAGGAAACTATAGGCCAGTCAATTTGACCTTGATACCGCATACAATTTTGGGAAAAATTATCAAGAAGTCCATTGTGAGAGACTGGCATAAGGCATGATACTGAAGGATAGCCAATGTGGTTTCGCTGTCGGCAGGTCATGGCTGACCAACCTTGTCTCCTTCCATGATCAAGTAACGAACTGCTTGGATGTGGGACATTTGGTTGATGTCATATACTTGGATTTTAAAAAAGCCTTTGATATGGTCTCCCATGACCCTCTTACAAAAAAATTGGGGGATTATGGGCTGGCAGAGTCCACAGTGAGGTGGGTTGGAACTGAATCCAGAGAGTGTTAGAGACCAGGACTGTATTGTCTTGGCGGGAGGTGGCCAGTGGTGTCCCACAGGGTTCAGTTCTTGGCCCCATGCTGTTCAACATTTTTATGAACGATTTAGATGAGGATGTGGAAAACATGCTGGCCAAGTCTGTAGACGATACTAAGTTATGGGGAAAAGCAACGTGCTAGGGGACAGAATGAAGATCCAAGTGGACCTGGCCAAGCTGGAAAGGTGGGTGGAGCAAAATCGGATGCAGCTCAATAAAGATAAATGCAGAGTGCTTCATCTGGGGAGAAGTAACTAGTGACATGAATATAGGTTAGAAGGAGATGTCTTGGCAAGAATGATGGCTGAAAGGGACCTCGGGGTTATGGTGGATCACAGGATGAACATAAGCCACCAGTGCAACACTATAGTCAACAGAGGTAATTGCATACCAGGATGCATTAGCTGATGCGTTGCAAGCAGGGTTAAGGAAGTGATACTTCCTCTCTACTCTGTGTTGGTTAGATCCCAGCTGGGGTACTGGGTCTAGTTCTGGGTGCTGCACTTCAAAAAAAGATGTGGAGAATCTTGAAAGGGTCCAAAGATGGGCCACAAGAATGATTAAGGGCCTGTAGGACAAACCTTATGAGCAAAGACTAAGGGATCTGGGACTGTTCAATCTGGGGAAAAGAAGACTGAGGGGGAACTTGGTGGTCATCTATAAGTATGTAAGGGGTAAATACTGGAAGCTGGGAGAAAAACTGTTCACTAGGATGCCCCAGGGGAGGACAAAAAAAACAATGGTCATAAACTGTTAGAGCATGATTTCAGGTTGGATGTAAGGAAGAACTTCTTTACCATAAGGGCGACCAGAATCTGGAACAGACTTCCCAAGGAGATGGTGCAGTCCACAACCTTTGAAGTCTTCAAGAGGAGACTGGACAGACACCCAGAGCAGGGGGGGTTGGACTCGATAATCTTTCGAGGTCCCTTCCAGCCCTTAATTTCTATGATTCTACTGAGTACCTGGCAAAAGGGGCCGTAGCATCTTGCAAGATCCAATCAGCAGTTTGCTTCCTAATCTGTGGAGCAGAAAGGATTGGATTCTCAGAGGTGATGACTACCTGTAGCTCCTACTGGCATCTCAAGTTGGGGGAGCACAGCACTGCTGGAAAAAAAAACCATCTCAAGATGCACAGCCTTTCATTTCATTAACAACAAGCAGGAAATATTATTGCAACAGTAAAGCATTTTCAGGTTATTTGCCTGTGTATTCTCCTACTGAAACTGGTAGTAAACTCCAATCATTCAAGACCACATAATGCACAGGAAGGAGATGCCAAACAGACAGAGCAGAAATTGTGTCTTCAATTAATGCCACTGGATTCCCAAACCTGTCTCCTAATTTGGCCAGTTCCCTGCATTCCTAATCCCTTGATGTCTGTGGCTGGATTGCTCAATTGATTTAGGATATCAGTTGGCACTGAATAGATAAGACCTTAGATCAGCCTGCAGGAAGACTCATTTTCACTGACCTACAGGAAGCAGGGCAGGGTAGCACTTCAGAGTAACTAGTTCAGAAATGAATGAGCTTTTAGAGGCAACAGACTATTTTGTCAGATGCTACAATGAAGTATTTTTCTGTATCTGATGAAGAGGTTAACTTCCTCTTTCAGTGACCTGTGAGAAGGCTGTGAGGAGCTGCTAACAAGAGAAACCTAATTTTGATCACTATAATAGAATGATTCATAAACCAGAGAACTCCCATCATCGCATTGCAGCTTTCAAGCTAAATCTCCATCATGCAAGTGAGCAGGGGAAGCCCTAGCAGGTATTTTGAAAACCAGTGCAATTCTGGCAAATTGTACTTGGTTCTACTGGAGCAGGGGTTTTCAACTGGGGGTATATGTACCCTGAGGGTACTTTGGAAATTTGCTTCCTAATCTGTGGAGCAGATAGGATTGGATTCTCAGAGGGGAAACACGGCAGTGGCACAGAGAAGCTGGCGGCATTCAAGCTTTGCCGCTGGCAGCACTTCTGGTTTTGCTGCCACATGGGGACCCCTGCCCACCCCCCAATTTGTCGACTGGCCGCCGGGGTAC